CCCCCGGGCGGGCAGGAGCCGGGATTAGGCGGTGGGACAGGGCTAATCCCCGGGACAGCGCTAATCTCCCGGGAGGGTTAATCCATGGCGGGGGCAAGAGGGAGACTGGAGACAGGCTGCCCCAGCGCTGGGGGTACCGAGCAGGGCAGGACACCCCACACACACTAATGCATCAAAGGCAGCCCCACCACAGGCTGCTTGGTCCCGTGAAGGGACCCAGCAGAGGCATCACCCAGGGTGCCCTGGTAGAGCCCCCACCCCGTGGCACCTAGGGAACAGAGAAGCAGTGGAAGGGCTGGCCAGAACCAGCTCTGGGCAGGAGGGCTGCCATCCCTGGCTGTCTCGCTGGGCACAGACAATAGGGACAGTCTGTTCCCATGGGATAGGGCCAAGCAGCCCCAGGGAGTTGCAGCAACAGACACAGAGGGTTTGTATCCGACACAGCAGCAGCTTCTCTTAAAGCCTTTTATTCACAGACATATTACAGACACATGGAAAACCGACAAGATCACATCGGAGAGAGCACGAGCCCGGCCAGAGCAGCGTGTCCCTCCAGCTGGGCCCAGAGGGCTGAACCCCACCCAGCGCACAAGAAAGCTGAAGTGTTTGAAGCAGATATTTTGTGGACATGCTACAGCAACAGAAGGAACTCAGCATTTAGTACTCCTCCCCTTCCTCCTCTCCCTCCCCTTCCACTGAATCCACCCCCACCTCCTCATAATCCTTCTCCAGGGCGGCCATGTCCTCCCGGGCCTCTGAGAACTCCCCCTCCTCCATGCCCTCCCCCACATACCAGTGCACAAATGCCCGCTTGGCATACATCAGGTCAAACTTGTGGTCCAGGCGGGCCCAGGCCTCGGCAATGGCCGTGGTGTTGCTCAGCATGCACACGGCACGCTGCACCTTGGCCAGGTCCCCCCCGGGCACCACCGTGGGCGGCTGGTAGTTGATGCCCACCTGCACCTTGGCCAGGTCGCCCCCGGGCACCACCGTGGGAGGCTGGTAGTTGATACCCACCTTGAAGCCCGTGGGGCACCAGTCCACAAACTGGATCGACCGGCGTGTTTTAATGGCTGCAATGGCTGCGTTCACATCCTTGGGCACCACATCGCCCCGGTACAGCAGGCAGCACGCCATGTACTTGCCCCGGCGTGGGTCACATTTCACCATCTGGTTGGAGAACTCAAAGCAAGCGTTGGTGATCTCCGGCACCGACAGCTGCTCGTGGTAGGCTTTCTCTGCCGAGATGATGGGTGCATAGGTGGTGAGCGGGAAGTGTATCCGTGGGTACGGTACCAGGTTGGTCTGGAATTCAATCAGGTCAACATTCAAAGCACCGTTAAATCTCAAGGAGGCAGTGACCGATGAGACGATCTGCCCAATCAGCCTGTTGAGGTTGGTGTAGGTGGGACGCTCGATGTCCAGGTTGCGGTTGCAGATGTCATAGATGGCCTCGTTGTCCACCATGAAGGAGCAGTCCGAGTGCTCCAGGGTGGTGTGGGTGGTGAGGATGGAGTTGTAGGGCTCCACCACAGCTGTGGAGACCTGTGGAGCTGGGTAGATGGAGAACTCCAGCTTGGACTTCTTGCCATAGTCAACGGAGAGGCGCTCCATGAGCAGGGAGGTGAAGCCGGAGCCGGTGCCACCTCCAAAGCTGTGGAAGACCAGGAAGCCTTGCAGCCCTGTGCACTGGTCAGCCTGGTGAGAGAGTTCCCAGCAGAGTCTGGAGCAGGTCAGCCATGGCTTTACACACTTGTATTCCCCAGGATGACCTGGGAGCTCCCAGCAGGAGCCACTCGTCCCACACAAGCCTGTGGGTAGCCAGCTCAGCCTTTGATGTGCTGGGAGCTCCCCGAGTGGAGCCAGTGGCACAGCAGGTCCAGCCAGCCCTGGCGCCAGCCCCAGTGTGGGAACCAGACGTTCAAAAGAGCTCAGGTAGCCGCACCAGTCGAACCAGTGCTGCACCAGCACCCAAACCAGGTCTGCCTGGCCCCCCCTGCCCCAGGCATGGGGCTTCCCATCCTCTCCACAGCCCACCTTGGAACTGGGCTGGGACGGGCCCTACTGATCTGGGGAAGGCATGTCCCATGTCGGTATTGGGGATAGCCCAGACTTGTCACCCACACCCCAGGGCAGCCGGTCCCTCCTGGGGCAGCCCCACCTTCTGTCTTTCTGCTGATGCAGCCTAAAGTGTTGATGGGATGAGAAGGACCCGCTGGTCACCTACCCAGCAAATCTGGCTTCCCTTTGTCTCCAGCCACCCCCTAGGGATGGACCCACCCTGTGAGACCCCAGGGGATGCTCACCAGCTTGCGGATGCGGTCGAGGACCAGGTCGATGATCTCTTTCCCAATGGTGTAGTGCCCACGGGCGTAGTTGTTGGCCGCATCCTCCTTGCCCGTGATCAGCTGCTCGGGGTGGAAGAGCTGCCGGTATGTCCCTGTGCGCACCTCATCTGTGGTGAGAGAGAGCCCACCCGCCCCGTTAGCACCCAACATCCCATTAACATCACCCACCTCGCAACGTCCCCGCACTCACCGATCACCGTGGGCTCCAGGTCCACAAAGACAGCCCGGGGCACATGCTTGCCGGCCCCTGTCTCGCTGAAGAAGGTGTTGAAGGAGTCGTCCCCCCCGCCGATGGTCTTGTCGCTGGGCATCTGCCCATCGGGCTGGATGCCGTGCTCCAGGCAGTACAGCTCCCAGCAGGCGTTGCCAATCTGCACGCCCGCTTGGCCCACATGGATGGAGATGCACTCACGCTGCAGAGACATGGTGGGGGGAGTCAGCCTGGGAGCAACCCCCACCCTAACGCTGGTTGTGCTCCGGCCCAGCTGGCCAGAGCCAACTGTGTGCCCCAAAGCTCTAGCTGAGCAGTGTGGGGACATCCCAGGGACTGAGCTGGCCCCAGGAGGGAGATGTGTGTGCATGGGAGGGAACAACACATGTTTGGGGACAGACCAGAGCCACCATTTGGCACAGCAATGAGGGTAACTGGGGGTACCACTGCCCTGCATCCACTCTCCAAATGGCGCACAGGGAGGACATTTTACCGCCCTGCAGCACACAGCAAGGCCACGCTGCAGGAGGAGGAAGAGGAAGCACACAGCACAGCAGCAGGGACATGACTGTGCCAGCCAACCCAAAACCACCGGGGAGGGCCGATTGCGTCACCCCCCAGGTGGGGGGCTGTGGTGTCCCTCTGGTCCCCCTCCTACCCCCGCCCTGGGGTCCAGCACATTCCCAACCGCGCCCTGCACCGCACCAGCTGCTCTGGCACATTTCTCCTGCCCGGGGCGGTTTTTCTTTTGGCGGGGGGGTATGTGACCCGTGTGGGCTCCCCGAGGACCCTCGGAGCAGGATTAGCCCCATGGGGTCGGACGCGGAGGGAGGTGCCAGAGCACTGGGGGTGGACACCGGACGACACCTTCTACCCCTACCGCGGGGTTGCATGGGGCCGGGGGTTCAGGGGTGGATTTGGGTGGCGCTGGTGACGCAGGGGCGGGGAGAGGG